CCCGGACTTGGCACCAGGGTTCTGGGGCCTGCTACCCTCCGGTCCTGAGACCCCTGCCCACCCTCCAGGCCGCCCCCCACCCCATGGGGCTGGTCACTGTCCACTCCGGCTCTCCCCCCCAGACCAAGGAGGGTGCCCCAGGGTCAAGGTGAGAGGCAGGTGCAGGCCTGACCTCTAACCCTGGGCTTGGGGGCCCCCTCCGCTGGGAGGGACCCCCACCACCCCCACCAGGGCCCTCCCTGGACCCCAGGGGACCCTGTCCTCCTAGCTGGTGACCCACAGTGGAAACCATCACGCTTTCTTAGCTGCTTCTGCAATGTCTCAGGTCCTAGTTGTTGTTGTTTTGCTTCCCAGGATCTTATTTATTTTTATTATTTTTAATCCTCACCTGAGGATAATTTTCCATTGATTTTTAGAGAGAGTGGACAAGAGAGGGAGAGACAGAGAAACAGCCATGTGAGAGAAACACATCAACTGGTTGCCTCCTACACGAACCCCAACCAGGCCCGGGTGGGGGAGGAGCCTGCAACCAGGAGGCACGTGCCCTGGACCAGAATCGAACCCGGGACCCTTCGGTCTCCTGGCCAACGCTCTCTCCACTGAGCCCACCGGCGGGCCGGGGGCTGTGTAAATTATACTTCAGCTTTTCATCTGGCCGCTGACACAGGAGCCGCCCATGTTCCTGCCAGACTTTTATGCCTCTGTTTGTGCCTTTCCGTCCTACATCCGTGTGGAATGTTCTGGGAAGCGAGGTGATGGGAGTTTTTGAATTCCTCCTTGCTGAGTAACTGACGGCGGCCCCTGCCCCACCGAGTCGGGGAAAGTGTGAGGTGGGTCTCGGCTCGGCCCTGTTCCGGGTCTTTCCAAGCGGCGGTCTGGCTGGAGACCTGCAATGAGGAGCCTCCCCGCTGGTTTCCCGGGAGAGGTCGGCCTCGCGTCCGGAGCCGTTTCCGTGAAGACACGGACTCGTCCATCTGTGAGCTCAGCGTGTTCCCCTGTGGTCCTGACCCAGGACACGGTGCTCACTGCCCGTGGCTGCACGGCACGCTGGGAGCTCCTTCTCAAGGGAAGGGATCTCGGTAAACACGGCTTCCAGCCGCGACCTGGCCCATCAGCCACAGGTGCTCCCGGGCTGTGCTCCCCGGGCTGTGCTCCCCGGCTGTGCTCCCCGGGCTGTGCTCCCCAGGCTGTGCTCCCCAGGCTGTGCTTGGCTCTGAGAGGTCAGCTCGAAGCCGCTCCCGTGAGGGAGTGAACGTGTCCCCGGTGTGACCGGAGGCAGGGGACGTGGCCTCCGTGCTGGCGAGGCCCTCAGCCCGCCCACCTGCCAGCACTTACACAGCTGGAGGGTGTGAGGGCAGCTCTGCTCGGTGCTGAGTGTAAATGCCAAGCTGGTTTTATTGACAAAGTTTTGTACTTATTCCCCCAAAAAAGTTATTTTTACTTCAAGACAGTTTTCTTTTTTAATATATTTTTATTGATTTAAGAGAGGATGGGAGAGGGAAAGGGAGAGGGAGAGGGAAACATCCATGATGACAGAGAATCATGGACCCGCTGCCTCCTGCCCGCCCCACCCTGGGGATGGAGCCCACAACCCAGGCCTGTGCCCTGACCGGGGATCGAACCCTGCCCTCCACGTGGCCGGGCGGGCAGCAGAGCTGTCCCCCAGGCCTGTCCGTGGGCTCGGAGACGCAGCTCAGGCCCTGCCCCCAGAAGCCCTCCCTGTCTGTCCCAGGTGTCGGAGTGGAGCTCCTCTGAGGACGAGGCCCCGCCCTTCCTGTGGAGCCCGTCGGGGTCCGTCCTGAAGCACAGCACCCCCGCGGAGGGCGCCCCCGGCTGGGGCAGGAGCCCGCGGGGGCCCCGGCCCTCCCGCCTGGGAGGGGGCCCCGGGGATGGGTCCCCGCGGCCGGGGTGCGCCTCCTGGGGTCTGCCGGCCCCCGGCCCCCGGAAGCAGCGGCTGTCCACCATCTGGGCCTCCGAGGAGTCCGGCCCCCCGGCGCCCGAGGGGGAGCCGCCCGCACCCACTGAGGCCACCTGCCCCCCACGGCCACAGCCACAGCGGAAGGCGGAGCCGGGAGGGCCCCCGGGGGGCTGGGTCCGGAGCCAGGGGCTGCCCGGCATCTCCGACGACACCACCACAGCCGGGCGCAGGCGCCGGGACCCGAGGAAGCTGGCAGCGGTGGTAGGCGACCCCGTCCATCCATCCGTCCTGTCCCCGGGCCTGACCCCGCCCCTGTCCCCGTCCCCGGGCCTGACCCATCCCCGGTCCCGTCCCCAGGAGCTGGGGCCCCCGGGAGGTGGCCTCCGGGTGGAGGAAGAGCACAGATGCCCACTGAGGGGCGGGCCTGACGGGGGGAGTCCCAGGCTGCGGACGGGTGACCCTCCAGGGGAGGCTGTGTCAGTGAAACCTGAGCCCAGCATCTCCCTGCTCCCCAGACTCCCCCGCCCCCCCGCCCCCCTGCCCTGGGACAGGCTGGGTGGCCCTCGCTGTCCCCTGCCCCCTGGGGCTGCCCCTGCTCTGGCCTGGGCCGCGCCAGGGGTCCTGGTGTCCTCCGGTGGGTGGGAGGGACCCTGTCCCCGCTGCCCCAGCTCTGCTTCCAGCCCCGGGTGCCCCCTTTCGTCCCCTCTGAGCCCTCCCCCACCCCCTCCCTGGGCCACGGTCAGGCCCAGCGCCCAGCGCCCTGACCCGCCCTCTGGGTGGAGTGACAGACGGGGTGGGCCGTGCTGGCGGCCAGGCCCTCTGCACTGACAGGGAGGGGGCGGAGGGGCCGGCTACGCCCTCAGAGCCCATTCCCGCAGACGGAGCGCGTGCGGCAGTGGGAGGCCCGCCAGCTGCAGAGCATCGAGGAGGCCACGCAGCACAACCTCACAGTGCAGGACGAGTGACTGCCCGCCCGACCGGCGCCTGTGCCCGTCTGTCCACAATCCCCGCCCGTCTGTCCCCCCGTCTGTCCACGGTCCCCCGTCTGTCCGCAATCCCCGCCCCATCTGTCCACGGTCCCCCCCCGCGTCTGTCCACGGTCCCCCCGTCTGTCCGCAATCCCCCCCCGTCTGTCCACGGTCCCCCCGTCTGTCCACGGTCCCCCCGTCTGTCCACAATCCCCGCCCGTCTGTCCACGGTTCCCCCGTCTGTCCGCAATCCCCCCCGTCTGTCCACGGTCCCCCCGTCTGTCCGCAATCCCCCCCCGTCTGTCCACGGTCCCCCCGTCTGTCCACAGTCCCCGCCCGTCTGTCCACGGTTCCCCCGTCTGTCCACAATCCCCGCCCCGTCTGTCCACGGTCCCCCCCCCCGTCTGTCCACGGAGTAAGCCCCACGCCCTCTCAGCACTCCACGCCCCACATTGTGCCCCAGGGGGGCTGTTGATAAAGGTCTTGTCACTCAGACCCCTGTGGTCCTGGGGCCACCTTGGAGGAGGGGGAAGGGGGGGCACGCGGCCACGTGGAGACCAGGAGCTCAGGGTGCAATTCCACCCGGGGCCTCGGGGGCCTGTGGGTGCGGGGGCCGGGGGACAGAGGGGGGCCTGTGGGCGCGGGGCCGGGGGACAGAGGGGGCCGGGGGACAGAGGGGGCCTGTGGGCGCGGGGGCCGGGGGACAGAGGGGGCCTGTGGGCGCGGGGGCCGGGGGACAGAGGGGGCCGGGGGACAGAGGGGGCCTGTGGGCGCGGGGGCCGGGGGACAGAGGGGGCCGGGGGACAGAGGGGGCGGGGGATAGAGGGGGCCGGGGACAGAGGGGGCCAGGGGGACAGAGGGGGCCTGTGGGCGCGGGGGCCGGGGGACAGAGGGGGCCTGTGGGCGCGGGGGCCGGGGGACAGAGGGGGCCGGGGGACAGAGGGGGCCGGGGGACAGAGGGGGCCGGGGGGACAGAGGGGGCCGGGGGGACAGAGGGGGCCGGGGGACAGAGGGGGCCGGGGGGACAGAGGGGGCCGGGGGGACAGAGGGGGCCTGTGGACGCGGGGGACAGAGGGGGCCTGTGGACGCGGGGGACAGAGGGGGCCTGTGGGCGCGGGGGCCGGAGGGACAGGGGGCCGGGGGACAGAGGGGGCCGGAGGGACAGAGGGGGCCGGGGGGGACAGAGGGGGCCGGGGGACAGAGGGGGCCGGGGGACAGAGGGGGCCGGGGGACAGAGGGGCCGGGGGGGACAGAGGGGGCCGGGGGGGACAGAGGGGGCCGGGGGGGACAGAGGGGGCCGGGGGGGACAGAGGGGGCCGGGGGACAGAGGGGGCCGGGGGGACAGAGGTCTGGGGGGACAGAGGGGGCCTGTGGACGCGGGGGGCGGGGGGACAGAGGGGGCCGGGGGGACAGAGGTCTGGGGGGGGCAATGCTGATCCTCCCGCGTAGGGAGGAGAGACGGCCTCCCAAGCTTCAGTCAGACAGAAACCCGGCCTCAAACCCCAACACGAGGTCACCCAAGACAGGTCACCCCGACACTGGGGACCCCGACATGAGGACCAACACGAGGCACCCTGCAACAGGGCCACAAGGGTTTCTGGGAGGAGGGCGGCGGCAAATCTGGTCTCCTGGGGGCGCCACAGCCCCTTGGAGGCCCCCGAGGGAGGGGGCCACTCCCACTGCCACAGCAAGGTCCCGTGTGTGTGCGTGTGTGTGTGTGCGTGTGTGTGCGTGTGTGTGTGTGTGTATACGCGTGTGGTGTGCATGCACTGCCTGGGCAGTGTGTGTGTACATTTTTTGAGCGCATTCCTCCTCCATAAGCCAACTTTTCAACTTGCTCGCTTTTTCCTTTGTTACCACAGTTACCAGATTGTAACAGAGGTGCTCCATGGTTAGAGCATCCACCTGCAGACCAGAGGGTCCTGGCCTTGATTCCTGGTCGGGAGCACAGGCCTCAGCTGCAGGCTGAGTCCCAGCACTGGTCAGGGTGCCGTGGGAGACAGCCAACCGACGTGTGTCTGTGGCTCTTCCTCTCCCTACACGCTCCCTAAAAACCAACGGGAAATACCCTCACCCCTTAGGGGAGGTTAAAGGATAAATTTAAAAAGGATAACATTTCAAATGGAAGTGGCAAGAAGCAGGGACTGCCTATAGTTACGTGAGCTGGAGGTGGCTGCTTTGGGCCTGGCTCAGGGGTTGAGTGCTGACCTGTGAACCAGGAGGACACGGTTCCATTCCCCGTCGGGGCACAGGCCAGGTGCGGGCTCAACCCGTGTGGGGCGTGCAGGAGCAGCCCATCAAGGATTCTCATCATTGATGTTTCTCCCTCCCTCCCTTTCTCTGAAATAATTTTTAAAAATATTTTTAAATACTTTGGTGTCTTTCCGTCATTGATATTAAAAATAAAGTGTTGCCCCGACTGGTTTTGCTCAGTGGACAGAGTGTTGTCCTGCAGACTGAAAGGTCCCATGTTCAATTCCGGTCAAGGGCAGGTACCTTGGTTGCGGGCACATCCCTAGTAGGGGGTGTGCAGGAGGCAGCTGACCGATGTTTCTCTCTCTGGACATTTCTAACTCTCTGTCCTCTCCCTTCCTCTCTGTTAAAAATCAATAAAACATACATTTTAAAAATATATGGGAACTATTGCCACAGCCTCTGCAATGCACCGTCACGTGACCTCTGCCCCTACCTCGTTTCCATACTCGGAGAAGCCCAGACAGCTGGTGCCTCACCGCGGCCCCAGGGCCCCAGGGCCCGGCCTGTCCGCTCCGCCTTCCCCCAGTTACCAGCTGGGACCCCGGGGCCCCGCACACACCCGTCTCCCCTGCTCCGACTTCAGGGCTAGCACGGGCACGAGCTGTGCCCAGGCTCTGTGGCCGGGCCTACCCACCTCACCTTCGGTGGTCAGGGTCCCTCCTGGGCCGGACTTCGGCCTGCGCGTCCAGTGCCAGCCCACACCCCCCAGGCTAGGGCGGAGGCCCTCCCTCACCACCGGGTCTGTTCATCCCCCACTGCAACCGCCCACTGGCCGTGCGGCCACGTTCCCCGAGGCCACGGCGCCACGGCCACGTGGGCTTTGTCATCACGGGGACAGGAAGTCACGGTCCGCCCTGCGGGTCAGCGGGTGGGCAGAGGGTCCTGACCGCGGGCACGGTTTCCCATGGACGTGGACACAGGGTTAGTCAAGCAAGGTCTTCCTTTACTTTCGTTAAACAAGGTCGGGAAAGAGGGATAGTGCAAACACTCGGTAGAAAAGTTGCGATTAAGAAACGTACATTCACATGGAACATGTCAGCCCGTTCACTGGTTTTCCAAATAAAAACAGGACAGAGTACCGGCGCCTGGTCTCAGGGCCGTCTGGAGGAGACTGGCCACTCGTGTGCAGGGGACGTAAAAATAGACCCGTGTTGATCGTACGAACCCACTCAGTCCTGTCGGGGGACGGCCCGGGGGCCCGTGCCCGGGGGACGGCCCAGGGGGCCCATGCCCTGGGGGACGGCCCGGGGGGCCCATGCCCTGGGGGACGGCCCGGGGGGCGTGGCCGTCCCTAAGCCAGGGCTCCGTGTGTGCGGTGGTGTGCATCCGTGTGCTGGGGGCGTGTGCGGGCCCCGCTCAGGCTCGGACCGCCCTGCGGGGACTCCCGGGGGGAAGCAGGTGGCCCGGGCGGTGCCCTCGCGGTGCATGCTGGGTGATTCCAAACCAAACTAAATCACACACACGGGGACTTCACGCATGCGACCGCGTGCGAATGGCTTGGGTGTCACGGGGAGGAAGGCAGCACCGCTCCTCCCTGCGAGTGGGGCGGCGCAGGGAGCGAGGCTCCCGCTGGGGGTCCCTCGGTTCCTGGCCGGACAGGGCTGGCCCCCTGAGACTGTGCTTCGTGCTGGGGCTGCTGGTGGAGGAGACGTTCTGTGCCGGCGGGCCGGTGCCCGGTGTGCCCGGGGCCGTCCCACACGCCAGACACACGGGCATTCAGCCCGAGGCTGACTGTGCTCTGAGCGCCTCACCCGCCAGCAGGTGGAGGACACTGGGTGGCTCTGGCCGGGAGCTGGGTGGAGTCCAGGCCCCTGGAGAGGTGTGTGTGTGGTGTGGGGCGTCTGGGACCCCGTTCTGCTGTGTGTGGTCCAGGGGCCTGGCCCTGGCTGAGGCGCAGGGCGCCCTCCAGGGGTGACGGGCAGAGGGACGGACCGGCAGGGCCTCCGTCTGGCCTTTCGTCCTGAGGGGTCAGCCCTCACAGAGCCGGGGCCCGGCCCAAAGGGCACAGGCCCGGTGAGACGGCCCCGGTGCGGGCGGCACCTGTGTGCCCGGGAGCTCCCAGCGCCCGAGGGGCTGCCTGGGTTGTGCCTCTCGGCCCGACACCCTCGGAGGGAAAGCCTGGTCGGCGGAGCCCCTGGGGCTGCCCCCACACCCGGTGCCAGGAGACACCCAGAGGAGCTGCCAGAGGGCGGGGCTGCCGGCAGGGCCGGGCGTCCGCATTGGGTAGTTATTGCTTCGGAGACGGCGTCCGGCGCCCGGGGGCCTGGAGGCTGACGGTCACGCGGGGCCTGCCGGTCTGGGGGCGGGCACGCGGGGGGACGCCGGGGGAAGGCTATGTGCCCCCACCGAGGGCGCAGGCATGCGAGGGCCATGCGGGGCACACGGGCACGGGGGACGGGGTCATGCTACAGGGCGGGGTCGCCAGGCAGGGAGCCGCGTGTGGGAGCGGAGGGTCCCGGCGCCGTTAGGGCTCAGCGTCCCCCGGGGCCCGGCGTCTGTGCGTGAGACTGTACCGTCCGAACAGATAAGGCAACACAGCACGTGACACACGAAGGACGGACGCCCCCCTCCCCGGCCCAGAGGACGTGTCCCCGCTCGCACGTGGTTCTGGGACCGAGCGCCCCTGGGGGACAGGGCGTCCGAGGGGCTGTCCGCCGGCCGGTGCCGAATGCAGCCCTTGGTTGTGGGAAGCCGGCGAGGCATGGGGGCGGAGGGGGTCTCACCTCCCGGGCTTCGCTGTTCATCTCTGAACGCCCCGCCCTCCTCCTCCGCCGAGGGGCCAGGAGGCCACAGCCCCAGGCAGCGTGCGCACCGTGACCCTCTGCGAGGCGGGATCGGCTCC